AAAAATGGTAGGAAGCAGTAGTAAAAAAAATAATTGAAGAAGACTAAAAAGAAAGAGAAAGCTCGTAAGTAATACTAAAGAAAAATAACTAAAAAAAAGTGTGACACCAGAGTGTCTACACATCATACAACTTAAGCTGAGACTAAGGCAGACTTATACAAAAATATGATAGGTCTATCCGTGGTCCAAATCCACACATAAATAAGGTAGGCTGGAATAGAAAGATTACGTTCACACTAGCTGAAAAAAAAGATCATGAATATGGATGGGATTGTGGTTAGGTTCATTATCATGTCATCTGTAAGAGTAAATGAGTAGATTATGTTTACATGTAAATCCCATAATTTTCGGCATGATTCTAGCAATGCAATCTGATAGTTTTCATGCTTAGAGGAATGTTCCTAGCCTATATATTTTCTATGATAATCTGGTAGAAGGGAGAATAGAGTTTTCTTTGTCTTTAAGCAATCTTTTAGATTATTCTTTAAGTTTCGTATCTCTTAGGTAGATTTTCTAGAGTGATGAACTTTTATTACTTTGTATCCTTGATTAGAATTCTTAGGGTGGTGTTTCTTTATCTCTTAGTTTCTAATCTTGGTGGTGAACTTTTATATCTTTTAATCCAATAATCATATTCTGTCATTATTTAAATTCTAGTAAGTTATCTTCTTTGTGAGTTTTTTTGTTTACAATAATCTCCATATCTCAAATATCAATTCTTAGCATCAAATTGGTATTAGAGCTATGGCAAGTTGTCATTATCATGCCCCAGCAGAAGAGGTTGAAGCCAACACTGACATTGTAGTAACTACCATTATTGACCTAAAGGATGACCTCATAGAGGAGATACGATAACAAATCTTTTAACTACAACATCAACAACATATACAAGAAAGAAGAGAAGAGATAATGAGGCAACAAAAGAGAAATGAAGAAGATGAAGGAGAAACTAATCCATTTTATGGAAACAATAACGATTTTATTGATAACACCCTATCTCACCAATAGCAAGTTAGAGACTATCTATGTAAAAACTAATTTTAACCTAGCACATTCAATCTAAAGATAAAAATTCTTGAGTTCAAAAAGACGATGCAACTTGAAGAATTCTTTGATTGGCTACACATAGTGGAATGCAAATTGGAATACCATGATACCTCTGAACATTGTAAAATGAAGTTAGTAGCCATCAAACTAAAAAAGCATACATCTTTTTTGTGGTAAAATCTGAAAAAGCAAAGGGAAAGAAAATGCAGAAGAAAAATTATAACTTGGGAGAAGATGAAAAGAGAGTTGAAGAGAAAGTATATCTTAGATAACTTTCAATAAGACATCTTTCTTAGGCTCTATAACTTGAAGCAAATGGATCTTTTAGTGGAAGAATACATTAACAAGGAAAGCATGTTTAAGACCAGTGTTTCTACCAAACCTCCTTCAAATCTACCCCTAAAGAAAGAAAGAGCCATTCCCAACAAACCACAATCTAATACTGTCAACACTCAAACCCAAAGAGACTTCAAGTGCCAAAAAATTGGGCATATACATTATAAGTGTCTAAATCTCAAGATAGTTACGTTGGTTGAAGATGAAGTTCTTGAATATGTTGAAAGAAAAACTAATAAAGTATACTAGGATCTTGAACAAAGTGTTAAGAAAACTTATGATGATCTTAAGTCCTCACTTGTTATACAGTATAGCTTGAGTGATATGTATATTGAGGAAGAAGATAGCCCTTTTAAAATTATTCTTGATAAAAATACAATCTATCTTTTAGATTTAATTTAACTTTATGCTAATCAAAATTTTGATAAATATGTAGAAGAAAGAGCCAAGAGTATCAAAATATTTCATGAACAGGTTTAGAATAAAATTTTGTAAAAGAATAAAAAATTATAAAAGGTTAATAATCAAGCATCGAAGACATATGAAGTTTAAAAAACATGATTTGGTTTGGATTAACTTTCGAAAAGAAAGATTTTCTCCAAAAAAATTTGACAAATTATAACCTAAGACAGATGGTCCATTTAGAGTCTTTCAATGCATTTAGGAGAATGCCTACAAAATAAAGCTTCTTGACATTTATAGAGTATCTTTCACCTTTAATGTTATTGATTTATCATTTTACCATGGTGAGAATACTAGTTTGACTTGAGGACAAGTCTTTTCCAACCAGAGGAGATTGACATTGAAATGTCTGCATATCATACAACTTGGGCTAGGACTAAGGAAGACTTATCCAAAAATAAAATAGGCCTATCCTTGGTCCAATCCACACATAAATAAGGTGGGCTAGAATAGAGAGATTGTATTCACACTAACTGAAAAGAAAGATCATAAATATGGATGAGATTGTGGTCAGGTTCATTATCATATAATTTGCAAGAGTAAATGAGTAGATTATGTTCACATGCAAATCTCATGATTTTAGGTACGATTCTAGCAATGCAATCAAAAAGTTTTCATGCTTAGAGGGATGTTACTAGCCTATATATTTTCTGTTATAATTTGGTAAAAGAGAGAATACATTTTCTTTATCCTTAAGCAATCTTTTAAATTGTTCTTCAAGTTCTGTATCTCTTAGGTAGATTTCTTAGAGTGGTGAACTTTTATTATTTTGTATCCTTGATTAGAATTCTTAGGGTGGTGTTTTTATATCCCTTAGTTTCTAGTCTTTGTGGTGAACTTTTATCCCTTTTAATTCAATAATCATATTCTACCATTATTTAAATTCTTGTGAGTTGTCTTCTTTGTGAGTTTTTCTATTTACAGTTAATCTCCATATCTCAAACATTAATTCCTGGCATCAAAGCGCTAGGAGAAAAAGCTAAAACCAAAGAAGAGAATAAAGACAGAAATAAAAAGGTAAGCCGTTCACTAAGGTGGTCCTTTTATTGAAGAAGGTTTTAGTTTTTTTTTTTTATTGTGATAGGAACTTCAAGGTTCCATTCTTGACCTATGTTCACTGGTATGATGAACGTGTATATTTTCACATTAAAAATATTTTTTTTAGAAAAACAACTTAAAGAAAACAAAAGAAGAGAGTGGGCTGTGAATGGAAGCTTAAAGTTTTTTTGTTTTCATATTTGAAAGCTTAAAGTTTTTTTGATCATGTCTACTATTTTCGTTTAAAGCTTGTGCTTTATTTCTTGTCTATCAAGTCGTCAGTTTGCAGAAGCCTAAGGCTTCATCCAATTTGATGCATTTCACTTGTCCATTCCATTTATGGGATACACAATGAAAGTTTAAAGCTATATATGTTAGTAGTTTAGAATGTGATGTATTTCACATTGAGTAGAAAGATAATTTATATATAGTTTTAAAAAGATTACTTATGTTATTTAAGTAATTGAGCTGAGTGCTATAGTGGGCCAAGTCATTTAGGCTTGCTAAGAGTTTTCGTAATGGGTCAGACAATTTTAAAAGTTAAAAATAGGCACTTGGGCTTGTTTAGTAAATAGATTTAATTTTTAAATCTTTTATTTTTTTATTTCAGAATATTACTAATTTTGAATAAACATCTTTGGACAGAGAAAAATATGATAGTCCGAATAAACATATTCGAATAGGAAAACATGATTGTTTAAATAAAGTTTATTTAAACAAGAGAATATGACTATACGAAATGTCAAGACTTTTTGAATTGGCTTGATTGCTGATTGTTCATTTATTATAAATATATCTTTTTGCCTGACCTATTTTATTACTTTTGATTTAGAGAGTTTGTTAAAGCTTTGTTGTATTCTATAGGCATAATTGCCTTCAAGATTTTGTTTTTCACGCCTCAAAGCTATATTTCTTATTTCTTATTATTTCTATTTTCTTAAATTTTCTAACCATATACGTTTATGAAAAAGTTTTTTATCTACATATAAGTTTATGCATAAAAGTTTATTTGTATGTAAGTTTAAAGTTTTTGGCCTTTCATCTACATATTGGTCATTTATAAGGTGGGAAGAAAAAGCTTAAAATTTGCTTTTTGCTCACATTTGTTAGTCTGGTGCTTGTCTCCTTTTGTTGTCTACAAGATTTGGCATTTCAAGATTTATGGCACATTGTTGTTCCTGCATGATTTATAATTTTTGATAACAAATATGGTAGCAAATATAAAGAAATAAGAAGCGAATTAGTAAGGATAGTTTATCTAGTATGCCATGAGGTTTGTCTTGGTTTCTTTTTTTTTTTTTTTGGCATTTAGTTATTGCATGGGCTTAATAATAATAATGTAAAAAAGGTATTAATTAATTAATTAATTACTTATTAATTAATTAATTAAAGATTTTGCTTTTCTTGCCTAAATATTAGAGGAAGTCCAAAATTGTATTTTAAAATAATAATAATGTATCAAAAATAATAATATAATAACTTCATCTATATGTTGAGAAATTATTAAATATTAAAATAAAATAATAAAAGATTAATAAATAATAATATTTTTATTGAAAAATAAAATAAATAAAATATAAAAATCCATTTTTTAATAGAAACAGATAAAGGTGAATTAGTAATAATAATAATAATTTTAAAGAAAAAAATGTATGAAAATATAAAAAAATTGATTTTGTTAGAAAAATTACAAAATATGAGCTTACTTTGAAAGTTTGTCTAGATGTTAAATTTTTAGAGAGATTCATAAATTTTTGAAACCTTAAAAGAAAACTCTAAGCGAAACCCAAAATTTTAAATTGTAACCTTAAACCCTATGTGCACTAAAGGAACATAAAGATTTGATGCATTTTTTTAACAGCATTTTATCACAAACGCTACTAATTAAAGTATTTTTATAATTTTAATAGTATTTTTAGATAGAAGCTATAAAATAAACCCATAGCGGCACTTGAAATTATAAACGCCACAAATTAAAAAAATTTAGAGGTATTTGTAATTAAAAATATCATTAATTTACGACATATAGTGGCATTTATTGTAAAATACTTTAATTTTTTATAATTTAGTGATATTTGTAAATACAAACGCCACTAACTAATCAACCCATTCCACATTACTTAGTGGTGTTTTATATTTAAGAAGGCCTCCAATTTGCATGGTAAGTTTCCAAAAAATCAAAAATCGACCCAGCCCCATCTTTTCCCCTTTTTCCTTTCTACCATTCGATTCCTTTCTGTCATTCTCTACTGTAAATTTCCCTCTCGATTTTCCTTTATTTTCCCTTCCTTTTCTTTTCTCATTCTTTTCCTTCAATTTTGCTTCCACCAAATAACTAATTTAGCAAAATTGTGCTATAACCCATTTCGGCAACCATTGGCAGTAAGGCAAATACCAGTTCAATCGACGGTGATTTCTTGGTTATACATTTAGCTTTGCTCTCATTTTGATGATTTCTTCCATGGTAAACCTATTTTCTTCTATTTAGGGTTTAATTATTTGTTTTAAATTTAACAAATATGTTTGTGGTTTATAAATTCTCATTTAATAGTGGAATGTGTAAGTCTGTTTGTTGGAAGAAAATCGAGCCCTAGAATTCGAGGAAAAAGAAGTTAATTTGATGGGTAGCAACAGCGGCTATTGGGTATTTGCACAGGTAGGGTTTTAAGTAGAGTTCACTTGGATACAAAGGAGAAAGAAAAAGATATATGTATAGAGAATGAGGAAAAAGATACTGACTTCTAAATTCTTGTCAAATTCTTGATCTGACTTCTAAATTACTCTTAAAAGTTACCTTTTTGAGCAGTTTAATTTCAGTAGATATTGAATTTCATTCTCTGCAAAATTGTATCCCTATGGTCCCTCTGATGCTTCGCTGCTTAAACTAATAAGGAAGGTTAGTGCTCAACTATATGGTGTTGCTTTTTTATTTGTTCTATGCCAACGATTAATCTGCTAGGCACAAGTGTTAACTAATATTAGACCATTTATCTCCAGATTTTATGTCATACTGCTAGCTCTTGATATCTTCTACTATTTTCTTTGACACTACAACTTCAATAACCATTCTCAAGTTACTTCAACAATCCACAAGCAATAAATTTGACAATAGATGGATAGGGTTGGGTTCATACAGGAGATCTTGGATACTTTGATGAGGATGGGAATCTCTATGTTGTTGACAGAATTAAAAAGTTGATCAAGTATAAAGGTTTCTCGGTAACTTATTTGATTGCATTTTTTTTATAAAATTAATATGGCTAATTTGCATTTTCTATCAAATAAAATTTTGGTGAAAAGAAAGACTCCTCAATCTTCATGAATATTAATGTCAAAAGGGATAGAGATATACATAATAGTTTCTACATCCAAGAATTGGCTAAATTATCCTCTATTCCTTTAGGAACAATTTTAATAGAATTGTAGTAGAAAAATAACTAATGAGCATTTTTTTATGGTTTTCCTTAGTTAATATATCTTCCTTAGAAGTATTTCCTAGAATAAAATTGATTCACATAAGCAGTTATTTAGAGTTGTCTACTTTTATATGAGTATATAAATATATGATTCTATTTTCAATTGAATGATAGGAAAAAAAATTATTCTATTGTCTTTTGACTAGATCTATTAATATGAAAATCATCCTTTCAAGTAGAGTATCTGCATAGAAACTTTTAGAAAACGCAATGGATCTATTGAATAGCAAAAACGCAATTTAAAGCCAAGAGTCAAGAACTAGCTAAGTCTACTGAACTTTTATTGAGAAGTTCTCTTTTTGTGTAAAGGCAAGCTAAGAACTAGTTTGGCTAGCTAATTGACTGTAAATGGCATTATAATTAATGGAACATGAAAATTAAATAACAAGAAGATTAATACAGAAACCAAACTCAGATAAATGAACAAACAAACTAAAACTGAAAATTAATGGAGTAGTAAAGCAGTAGCATGAAAATAAAAAAAAAAAATTTAAAACACTTGTTTCAAGTAAAAAGGCCTCCTAGGTGAATGCTGAACCTAATAGCAATCTTGTACCATCCTTATCAACCCCCAAACAGCCATGAAAAATCAAAGAAACAACAACCCAAAACAATCATCAAAAACTGGAAACTGGTTCTGAACAGCATCTGATTAAAATTCGGTTTCCACTCTCATTTGATAGTATTTGATCTCCAATTTTTTTTGGAAGTAACTAACTAATATGTGAACATGCACATAAATTTTCAAGAGCATTGGACATCATTTAGTACTTGAAATTTAACCAAAACCGTAGCAAAACAAAATCTGAAATTTCAGCTTGGAAAACAGAACAGCTGCTACTAAATCTTAGATCTGGCTCAAAATATATGGAATTTTGCTCTCAAATTTTATAGAAGCTTAGATAACTCATAGATGAACAAGTACTAAAAAGCTTGATACAGATTGAAACCAAATTGAACTTGAAAAGTAACAAAAACCGAAATTAAATAAAATCTGAAGACAGAACAACATTCTGGAAACAGCTTTTAAAAAAATATTAAATTTACTAGCTCAATTAGAACTATTTGATCAAGAGGAAGCACTGTAAATCAAGCTAAAAACTAGAGGAACAACATATAAAAAACTCATAATTTTTTGAAACTGAAATCAACTTGAAAATTAATTAAACAGTAGCTAACATCAAACCTAGAAACCCAAAAACTGTGTTGAATAAACTGAAATTGCAAGTTTAAAAGGAAAATGTTTACTTAAAGGAACTAAAGTAGAGCTAAATAACAAGTAAAGGAATGTAAAAGAAACTTAAAATAAATTTAAAATGAAAGGAAAAACAAAGAACAAAGACTGCACAGCCAATAACATAGCAGCTATGGAGCTGCCAGCATTTGGAGTTCCTGCTAAAAAAAAATGCCGAGGCATGTATGAGGGGGGGCTCTTCTATAGCTGAATAAAAGCTTTTTTAATGTTTGATCCCAGCTTCAAATGATGCAATCTCAACCTTCAAAAATGCCAAGTCAGCTCAGAGATATTTTGGAAGATAGACAATTGCCCATAACCAATTCTGCACGAGCTTCAATTTCCAGCTAGCTTCCTCTCCCATGTGCTGCTTGTTTTGCCGGTCAAATAAGGTATATTATTAGCTTCCCATTTGAGTTGAGTTGTCATCCTTCTAAAATTTCTTGATTGGTACAGTGTTCTTTTGTAGGTGATAGAGTATGTCCAATATTTATGAGAGAGGGTTCAAAAATATGAGGGTTCACACCCGGGATGGAGTTCCTAGCCCACAAAATTAAAGCTATGGGTATGTTTTTATACTAAATGCTTTCCGTCTTTGAGGTTTAAATAATATTTTTTTGGCTTAAGCAGTTAATTTGCGGTTTAATAGGCATGCTTATGATGATTTGTGTATATCCTCTTCATTAAGCTATTAGGTATTCTATGATTTTTTTTTTAGATGGGAAATTCAATTTCATTAGGCTTGTTAAGTATAAAATTGCTTAAAATCTTTGATAGGCATAAAATCTTTGGAGCAGAAAATTGCTTAAGTAATGATTTTCCATACGTTTGTGGAATCTTTTGCACTAGTTTCCCGCCTATTAGGGTTTATTATTCAACTATAAAAAAAAAAAAAAACTTGTGGATCAACAAACCATTTGCTATGATATTTACCTCAAAAATCTTAGTTCCTATTGATTGACAATTGCTTTTTGCGTGGTTTGCTCACTCTTTAAAATTGCCTCTTATTGCAAAATGGCAAGCCAACCGGCCATGAACAATGCAAAGCCTCTGACAGTATAGATCCAAGGATAGCCTGTTGGTAAAAAAAGTGGTTGTTGCTCTTCCTAAAAACTCAATGATGTATTAGGAAGCTTTTTTTCTTTTGTAGTATGCTACCTCTCGTGGCTTGCAAGATTACATGTAACTCATCGATGACAAATTTATTTGTTCTGGTTCATTTCTACACACTTGTTCATGTGAAAAGGCTTGTACAATGTATGATTGTTGATTTAATAATAATATTTTTGCTTTCTCATGCCAAGTATTCTTTAAGGTTTTTTTAATTGGCATTTGTATTTAAATATTTTGATATTTAAATATTTATAATATCTAGTTTATAAATTTGAATTTGAATTTATTTCTTTTAATAATTTTTTATTTAATTATAGTAGTAAATATTGAAAGAAATTAAAAAAAAGTAAATTTCTTAATTTAGTGGCATTTATAGTGAAAAATGTCGTTAAATTTCTTAATTAACGACGTTTGTATCTTTACGGAAAAGCCAATGGAGTTCGTCTGAGTCCCTAACTTAGATGATCTGAAAGAGAAAGAGAAACTGAAGTTAAAGGTAGTTAACTCTCTACAGGCTCAAAGTCTGAATAAAAGATGAATTTGTTATCTTTATGAAAAAGCCAATGGAGTCAGTCTGAGTCCCTAACTTGGATGATCTGAAAGAGAAGAGAAGAGAAACTGAAGTTAAAGGCAGTCAACTCTCTACAGGTTCAAAGTCTGAATAAAAGATGAATCTATTTGAAGAGAGGTTAAGAGTTATGGGGGGAATTGACTTTTATGGCTCTATAAATATGATCGAACTTTGTTTGGTTCCTGATGTAGTTATCCCACCAAAGTTCAAAGTCCCGGGAGTTCAAAAATATGATGGTATTAAGTGTCTAGTGACTCATGTCACTATGTACTATTGAAAAATATCCGCTTATACAAGTGACCAAAAATTGTTGATTCATGTGTTCCAAGACACTTTATTGGTTTTGCTGCTAGATGATATGTTCAATTGAATAAAACTCCTATTAATTCGTGGAAGAAATTGGCAAGGGCGCTTATTACTCAGTATCAACACATTATAAACTTGGCTCTAGATCGTTTTTTATTATAGGGCATGGAAAAAAATGCAATAGAATCTTTTAAGAAATACATCCAAAGGTGGAAAGATATGGCTGCTCAAGTCTAACCACCTCTTACTGAGAAGGAAATCACTATCCTATTTGTCAGTACTTGTAAAGCTCCTTACTACAAGAAAATGATAGTGAATGCCACCAAAAACTTTGCTAGCATGGTAATCTATGGTGAGATAATTGAAAATGCTATCAAGAATGGCAAGTTAGGAGGAAAAAAGTCAACTAGCATGAGAAAGAGTGAAGTACCAAAAAAGAAAGAGAATGAAGCTCAAGTTGTAAGCCATGATAATCAACAATTTAAAGGTTTCCTTTAATTGAAAATGCTATCAAGAATGGCAATCTAAGAGGAAAAGAACTAGCATGAAAAAAAAGTGAAGTACCAAAGAAGAAAGAGAATGAAGCTTAAGTTGTCAGCCATGATAATCAACAATTTAGAGGTTTTCCCCAATACCGTCAGCAATGTATCCAATTTATTATTTATCCGTATATGGCGTAACCCTTCACACCTATCAACTTATCCCACCATCTGCTTATCCATCTATTTTCCAATCAAGTCATACATACAACCCCATTACTGCACCTGTTGTAAAGTCTGCCCCAAAACTTCAAACCAACAATTCGATAAGGTCACGAAATAACAAAGAAGAAGGCTTCTTTTGATCCCATTCTTATGACATATTAGACTTGCTACCACAATTGGTGAAAAATCATTTGTTGATCCTTATTTATGTTGAGACAATGAAACCTCTTTACCCGAAATAATATGATGCTAATGCTCAATATCGCTATCATTATGGGATCACAGGTTACTCAATAAAAAATTGTGTTGCCCTAAAGCACAAAGTAAAAGGTTCATCAATGAGGGGTTGGTCAAGTTTGACAATAAAGAAAGGCCATGCATCACCAAAATTGCTTTGCCCAATGATATAGGAACATGATTTTGAGGAGGTATTTTTAGAGTGTTTTTAGAAGTAATGAACTATAAGATAGTTTTTCATGTGTTTATCTTGTATTTAGTTTTCATGTGTTTATCTTTTATTTACCTCGTGTTTCAATAAAATGACAAGTGTATTTCATTATATATTCTTCCTATTCTTCTTTTTATCCTTACTTTTATATTCATCCCCTTTATGTTTCACTCATTCTCATATTCCAAGTAATGAATGTTTAGACAATTGTAATAATAATTTGAGGTTTAATTTTGGAAATTTCATTCTTATTGATTGAGGATTTTGACTTCTAATTTGTTTGGGTGAATTAAAGTTGACATATTAAAGGGCAGGAATAAAGCCATTTTAAAGGATTGTGATCCCTTATATCCACAAGCTCGCTTTTATTCAATATAGGTCCTTCAAGAAAAGTATTCATATTTGAAATGAGAAATGACCGTCTTTCTTTTACCTTTCACAAAAAATGAAATCATCCACTTGCTACCCCTTTTTGAGACTATTGTGATTTTTTTTGAAGAAATCCACCAAAGATCACCCTCCACTTTGGGGGAAAAGTTTGAGAAAAAGATCTATTTGCAAAAAAAAAAAAAAAAGTCACAAATGATTGCTAAGGTAAAGAAAAAAGGAAAAAAGAACAAAAAAAGAAAAAGAAAAATCTTTTATGCATGAATCCTTCTTGAAAAGGAAAATTGAAAGAAAAATGAGATTGTAAGATGAAAGAATAGTGAGATTGTAAGATGAAAGGAAAAATGAAAAAGAAAGAAAACATGAAGGCATTTGATAAAGGATGGGGTAAAATGCTAAGATGCTTTTAAATGATGAGAGATGATCCTTTGGTTTACACCCTTTCAAACACATATTTTGAGCTTAATTTATCTTTTTTTTTTCATAATCCTTTACCATAGCCTCAATTATATGCTTAAAAAGTTCATTTCGATCAAATATGAATGTTAAAATTGAATAATCATATGTTGAACTTGGGCATGCTTATAGATAATGAGATTTTTATATTTTGGTGATTTATATGAATTTAATGGAATGCTAACGAGAAATGAAGCAAAGAAAGGGTGAAAAAGAAAAAAGAATGAAAATATGAAAAGAAAAAATGAGAAATAAAAAGAAGGAAAAAGGAAAACTTAAATAAAAAATCCAAAAACACGATTTAAGTAAGTTGAAAGCATGAATTAGATAGCCTAAGAGTATTTAGGAGTCCAATGGGCTAAGCGGCAAGATTTGGATTTTAAGCCTAAAGGGAGCAAAGGTAGTCAATAAAATGAGTTTCTAAGAAAGAATTTTGGATTGGTATAAAATATTGCCTGAATATTCATTATTTTGGGATGTTCAAATCCCATCCAAACACTTATCCTAGCAATATGCTTTGACATTGTCCATTTGTTTATTACCTTTTACTAGACTTATTATTGCATTGAATATCCCTTTTCTTTGAACTACTTTGTTTTTCACCATTGTTGCTTCCCCATAATAAGAAAATATATGATGAATTACATTTTTTGTATGAAATTAGAATGATGAGAAATAATAGAGAAAATACATGAAAAATCCCTACATTACTTCAAAAAGAAAATCAATAGTGATAAGGGTAGAATGAAAATAGTGTGATGAAAGAAATTTACAAAAATGTTGATCCACATAACTTTCAACAAAATAAACATCTCGAAAAAAGTTTAGATTTGGTGAAAGGATATTTTTGAGGGTTGATAAAAGTTATGAAGATAACTTGTTTTGAAAATGAAAATTAAAAATCCTAAGAACCTTTTTACCATAATTATGGCTACATTTATTGCATTTCATGCATTGCATTCATGACATTCACCATATATTGCAAACAAAAAGTTTGAAATAGCAAAAGGAAGAGAATTTTTCAAGTACATGAATTTTGAAGTAGTAAATATTTGGTTAAGGAAAATTTTTAAAGGATAATCTTTGATTAAGAAAAGGATAAGACTTTAACTTTCTATTGAAAAGTTTCACAAAATGTTCCTCTGTCTCAAGAAGTGTATTGTTAAAGAATCAATAGGATTTATTAGCCTTCTGAGCATGATTATTAAAACATGTGGTTGTCATTTTCAAGATTATTTGATCTCATATTTTGACTTGGGCTCAAACCTAGTTTAATTTTTTACCTCAATTTAGTCTAGGTCATTTAATTTTCTAACTTCACACTTAGTCTTCGTCACTTATTTTCAACCTTGATTCAGTCCAAGTCATTTCATTTTTTTGACTTATGGCTCACTCTCAGTCACTTATTTTTTACCTTAGTTCAATCCAGGTCATTTTAATTTTCTAACTTGCGGTTTAGTCCCAATCACTTATTTTCAACTTTGGTTTAGTCCAGGTGATTTTATATTCTGACTTATGGTTCAGTCTTATTTTTTTACCTTGGTTCACTCTTAGGACATTTTAATTTTCTGACTTATGGTTCAGTCTTGATCTTTTATTTTTGACCTTAGCTCAGTCCAAGTCATTTAATTTTTTGACTTTGCGATTCAGTTCTGATCACTTATTTTTTGACCTCAATGTAGTCTAGGTAATTTAATTTTCTAACTTGCGGTTTAATCTTGATCGCTTATTTTTCAACCCTAACTTAGTCTGATCGCTTTTATTTTTTACCTCGATTCAGTCCAGTCACCTTCATCATTCAAGTTTTGGCTCAATCCAAATTATATGTATATATGTTTTTTTCCTTTTCAACTTTGGCTAAGTCTAAGTTATTTCATGTTTTAACTTTGACTAAATCCAAGTCATATTATTTTCTAACTTTAACTAAGACCAAGTTATTTTATTTTTTACTTTGGTTTAGACTAGGTCATCTCATTCTCTAACCATGGCTTAATCCAAGTCATCATGTTTTAATTTTTCCCTCCAACCAAATTATCATTTGTGACTCTTGACCCTATCCAAATCATTCCATTTTGAACTTCAGTTGGGTCCAAATCATTTCATCTTCGAACACGAATGTAATGGATATTTATGTTTTTGCACAATTCTTGTTACACAAAATATGCACAAAGAGGGACAACTGTAGAGACTCAATTTAGTTCGAGGTTTAAATCAACTGGGCATAATTTAATTTTAGGTCCAAAAGCGTAATTGTCAATAGAGTGGTTCTTTTTTTTTTTTTACTTTGTTTTATTATATATTTTTATT